CCTGCTCATCTCCGAGATCATCCCGTCGACGTCGCTGGCGCTGCCGCTGCTCGGCAAGTACCTGCTCTTCACCATGCTGCTGGTGGGGCTGTCGGTCGTGATCACCATCATGGTGCTCAACGGTGCACTACCCGGAAGCCGAGCACGCATCGCATGGCGCCCGGGGTGCGCGCCGCGCTTCGATCACGTGGCCTGCCAAGCATACTGCTGATGCGTGCCGGACAGCTGCTGCGGACCTAGCGCTCCCGGCAGCGCGCGCGGCGGGGCTCGCGGGCGCGGGCGGGCCGGCGGCGGCGGCCGCGGCGGGCGCCCGCTGCCCGCCCAATCGTCCCGCCGCCTCCTCCCCTGACTCCCTGCCGCCGGCCCCCGCCGCCCCCGGGCTGCAACGCGCCTGCCACACCTCCGCTTTCCACCGGCGCCACCAAACAGGTAGGCCGCCCGCCCGCCCCTCCCGACTCGCTCTCCACCCAAACCCTCGTTCCCCCTTGGAGGCCGTTGCCTCCTTCGCTCCGCAGCCGCCGCCGCCGCCACCGCCGCAGTGTCGCGCGCGCCGCCTCGAGCGCCCGGCGCCGAGCGCGCGCCCCGCCCGCGCCCGGGCAGCCCGCGCCGCGCGCTCCGGGCTGTCCGCGGCGCGCGCCGCTGCCTCGCGCGCGCGTCATAGCGGCCACCCGCCACTGCTCCCCTCCCTCCCTCGGCAACACCCGCCTGCGTCTCCCACCCCTCGGCTCACCACTCCCTCGACTCCCTTCTACATTCCTCCTTGCCAACACTCCAACATTCCTCCTACGAACACTCCAACATTCCTTCCTGGCCTAGCTCTCCAACATTCCTCCTGGCCTAGGCACTCCAACATTTCCTCCTCGCTAGGCCACTCCAACATTCCTCCTTGCTAGGCACTCCCAAACATTCCTTCCTGGGCTAGGCCACCTCCAACATTCCTCCTGCTAGGCACTCCAACATTCCTCCTGGCTAGGCCAACTCCAACATGTCCTCCTGGCTAGGCCACTCCAAACATTCCTCCTGGCTTAGGCCACTCCAACATTCCTCCTGGCTATGGCACTCGAACCACACTTTCGTCATAGCTAGATACTACTCCAACATTCCTTCGTAGCTAGCATAATTATCAATAATCCTATCTGCGACACCTTCTCCGATAATCCTCCCTAACACTCCAACATCCTTCTTCGCTAGACATTACAACATTTATCCACAATGACTATTCGCCACCAAGATTAATAACTCTAGCACCGTGGTAAAAACAATTTTCTGCATATGCTCGCGATATAACCGTTTGACACGTGAGGAATCCTCAAATGTTTCTTCCTCCTCAAGCTGCTAAAATTCTCCGTTTTAACATTTAACATTTTCCAAATAATTTTCATTCTGAGAGCATAATTATAAGTTCCTGTATATATTACAATTACATATAAATATTGACCTAGTCCGCAATAGTTTCCTAGCTTCTAAGTTAAATTTCAAGAGGTCCATACTTCACCTCTTTTTTAATGCATCTAGTTTGCAGAAGACATTTCATTTTGATTCCAACCCATTTGACTACCATTTCGCTTCTGCACTTACGGCTTTCATGGCTATTACATCAGTTTGTACAATCATTTCTCCTTTAAAGGCGATCTAAATGTCTAGTTCTCAAAACTAGCTCACGGCTCCAATCACCATTCTTTTATCTCCTTCCCCATTGTTGTTCGCTCTTTGCATACCATCAAGAGCATCGCCATCTTCTTCCAATCCACTCACATCATTTCTCCCTTACACACTCAGCGACGACCGTATCAGGGGAAAAATGTGTCTCTGCCTTCGCCAAACGAGGGCGAATTTCTGTCTTTTCTCCCCCTTTTTTCATCCCTGGAACGACGCAATCAATTATTTTTCGTTTATCACAAAAGAGGTTTCCGCGGGCGTCGAGGGTATTTCACGAAGTCGATAGAAGCGGAACGATTTCCCATCGACATGCAGCAAGAGCGCGTTTTCCATCAGAAATAGATAAAGTTGGGCCTTCCCCTCTGGCGGCTGGGCACCGGCCTCCACGTAAATAATAAGGAAGACGGGCTGCGCCACCAGCCGCTGTCAGGAGTCGACAAACCCGCGGCCGAATGGAACGGGCCCTTGCAAAAACAAAAGGACCTACGCGTTAACACGAAAACATTTTAAGCCAATAGTTATTGTTTCTTGTTTGATTGCATCTAAATTTAACATAGTCAAGCACATAGTAAGCACAAGCAGTAACATAGTCAAACTTAAAGAAATATGGAGTAGTATATACTTATATAAAAATTAATCCTCGAATATCTCTCAGATATAAAACAAAAGTACTTTCAGGTTAATGGCATTAATGTAACATGAGAGTGATCAATGGCTTCTCAGTTGTTTTATGCCTGTGATATTTTTTCTCGCTTGCATATCTTTATTGATAATCCTTCAAATCTCTTCAAACAAACCAAAACTCTACACATATTTTCTACCAAGATAGTGACTCGTATATGATTTATGGTGATTAATTCAAGCATTCATACTTTTGATACATTTTTCAATTAGGACAAAAACTGAGAACAGACACGATAAATTCTTTCAATTTCAAATGCGAAATCGTTAAACATACCTCGAAATCAATCACTGATTGTACATTATTCTTTGAAATATGTATGTTGCCATGGCCTGAACAATTCTTCCGAACGTGCTACAGGGATGTGAGAATTTGTCTCCCAAACCCTCGTCCTCAGTGACAGCAACGCATTCATTGACGCAGGTAGCAGCCTGGTCAGGGCTCCGCTTCCCAGGGCGATTCGCGGCTACATTAGTCCGCTGGCACAGCGTTCGAAAACGACGCGTCCTCGTCAATCGAGCGTTGTCTGCGCTGTCATCTCGTTTCCGCTCATTGCCAACGTGTCGTCCGCATTGACGCCGAACGAAGCGCTCGTAAGGCATTCGCTCGACAAATGCCACGTGGCGCGCGCTTTCGCTCATGCGGTCGGCCCGGCTTACGAGGCTCAGGGCATCAACTGACGTAGGTGCAGTGCCTCTGACCGCGAGGTCCTAAGGTTTGAGTTTCGACAGTGGTAGGATTTTCCACACTAGCTACATAAGTTGGTCGAATTCACCCGCTCTCTAGAGAATACATCTACTGACCGGTTGCTCTGATCGTTAGTGTACAGTGATTTCTCCGATCAACACAAGCGAATGCCGGAGCAGTACACTAACAAACGGGCCACGTACCGCGCGTGAACTTGCGCGTGAACTGTCTCTTCCTTGCCCTATCCTCACCCTTTATAGACATTTACACTACCACACATGCCGGAAGCCCAGTCGGAAGCTTAGTCTTAATTCAGGTGGTTCCCCACTGGAAGGAGATACCTGATTGGAGAAAATGCCGCAAGTCGACGAGTAGATCGACGCCAAATATCGCTATCCACGAAGGGAAAATCACCGCCCTCTACCGTAGTAAAAGCATCAACTACACTTACGGTACAAATGCCCTTAGCTGCTGACGCACTCGAAATCCTAATCAATCAAACCCGTCATCAAATCATAATCTACACTTACGGGACTAATGACCATAGCAGTTGACGCGCCCGGGATCACTAATCAATTGAACAGGCGGCAAAAGTATACTCGACACTTACGGGACTAATGACCATAGCAGTTTACGCGCAAGGACTCAATCGTCAAACGCCACGTGGCGCGCGGTTTCGCCCACGCGGCCGCGGCGGCGTGCCGGTCGCTGGGCGCGCACCGCGCCAGCCACACAACGTTAGACGCCAGTGACGCGTGAAATAGACGTGTGCGGTCCTGGAAAGCGCAAGCACTAATAGGGAGGGGGAGGCGCGCACGATGCCGTCGCTGATGGATAAGCTAACCGATCGTCAAACTCGCTACATGTGTACCAAACAAGGCAAGTGGCGGTACTATACATCACGTGCGGGCCGCGCGAATATCAGATAATATGGCTTCGTGCATACAAACCACCCACGGGGTGCGTACGTCACACCGGCATGCCGTGCCTTTCACGCCCGTAAGTCTGAGCCACGCCCCGCCACGCTTTGCTCACGTTCTCCAGCCGTGCCGTGATTGACGTGTTACACGGGTTCGCACGACTGCTGAAAAAAAGCGAGCATTGAATTTGCAATATATAGGAAACAGATAGGAAAACGGCGCATGTGGAGGTAAATTAACAAATGTTAAATACAGACTAATCTACGGTAATAAATCAATAGCCGCAACCTAGTTGTATAATTCAGTCACCTGTTATGATAAATTAGTGAGAAACGTATGCAATAGAGATTGACTGTACAGTTTCGTGCTCAGTTCATAAATGAAGTTCAAATTGCTGCCAGCATTCTCTTCTTCACATAGGCAATGACAAAATGATAAGATATATTTTTATTGTGAATACCTTCACAAAACACAATTAGGCATTTATTATAGGTAATATTATTATTTATTATAGGCACAGTCGATAAAGTTAATTCTTAAATCACATTAAAAGATACCTCGAGTTAAAGAATAACTGATTCTCAAATTCACTCATTATAATGAATATATAACGAGAGCGACTTTAGACGAACTATATTCCTAGGACTCCAGTTGAACTTCATGAACATAAGAGTCGCTTTTCCCGTGTCATAAATCATAATATTAATTAATGAGCGAGTTTGTCACAACATTATCCTTCGAAAAGAACATCAATACATTTTCTCAGTTATATTGTCAGGATCATCCCTGGTAACTGACTTCCATTTTTTAACACCAGGTTCAGTAATAGTCACCCATTCCCTTAATCTTCAGCACCTCTAAAAAATTAATAGAATATTCATGTCTGAGAAAAGTAGACTGACAAACGAGATGACGTGATCTCCACGACACAATCCTGATCCAAGAATATTCATCCGTCTCCCGTGGCGCTTACATCCAATTTTTAGCATTAGTTCCATCCCAACAAATAATATCTTAAATACGTACTACATCGGAGTTTGAGAGCAGGTCAAATGAGAGGTAAACAAAGATGGAATTGAATTTATAGGAAAAGGCGTAAGTATTGCATTATTTTTCATTAAGGTTTACCTAATTTTAATTGTAAGGCAATTTTCCAAGACCTCTTTCCTAAAGAAATTTAGGAAATTCCCTGATTCAAAACACAACAATAAATAATCCAATTGTCCTAATGTGTCCAACTGAAAAGTTTCAGTATAATATTTGCTACAAAACATAATAATTCTTTCACCACATTTTATGGTGTACTATGTTCAAAGATATCATTTTGTTATTCATTTTTCAACAGCCTTTACACCAATAAATATAGAAACACATATTACACATTATACATTAAACAAATAAAACCCACATTAAAAGATCATATAAACACTGAATGATCACATATAATTCTCTGGTGATCACGATCGTGACGAGTTAAGTCGTGATCACGATCGTGACGAGTTAAGTCATGAAACACAATTTTTCAAGTGAAACAAAACAGTGGTCATTGCCACCTTTTAAAAAAAATGTGTTTTGAAATTACTCTCGCAGCCTACTAACGTGATTTTGGCATTCCTGAAGCTCTATTACCCATGAAGTCGTGATGGCCCGAGTCTCGCCACGTAAAATAAGGCATATTCAATTCAATTCAATTCAATTCAATGGTTACATATATGTAACGCAGGGCATTAAAGGATTAAAACACCGTAATCGTCAAAAGAAAGCGTGTAAATCGGATTTAAAAAAGTAACTTATGATACATGAACCTATTTAAGACTCGTGAAACACTGTTAGTTCCTTAAGTATTGACTAAAGTTTTGCAATGACTTTCTGCAAGATTAATGATTCGTTAGAGCTCTTTACATTATAAATCGAAAACCGAACCTCTAAACTGTTAACCGTTCGTAAACCTATACTCTATTTTTCTGTGTTCTTGAACTTTGCCGTGAATTTTAACTACATTTTTAATGTCATATAAATAAAATGGCAAATAAAATGCTTGTATAAAAATTTAATATATTTAGAAAAATGTTAAGCGCATGAAATTATTGTAATATTACAGAATCGTCAAACGAAGAGGTTGTCTTCGACGTGTTGCAACATCTTCCGAGAACGAGAAAATTTTGAGATAGATCAAATCCCGTCGAGATGAAATTGATTTTAGTTCTCGATCTTCATTGTCAAAAAACACATTCATGGCTGACATGGATACAGTAGGGTTTCCCATGAAAAAACTGACATGAGAAAGCATAGCTACAATATATACCAAATTACCCTAGCTATTGTGAATACTTATTAAACTGTGATTAATTTATCACTCTGCGAAACTTATAACATGTACTAGCAATTATACAGGTACTGATTAAATATGATGACTGTAATTTATAGTATATGTGCAAACTCATATTTGATCGTCATTGCTTTATTTTATTCGTTAAATTAGTATGCGGTAGAATGAATGAGCAGCGTACATGCTCTATCTACGCTTCCTAGAGTGGAAATCCCTCAGTACCAATGATTTCATGTACCCCACCCTAGGGACTATTTGAAGTACATGGGAGTTATGGGAATTCTGACTGATCTTCGCCCCCACACTGCACCAATTTTTTTGCATCCGGGCCGAGGCCAAATTTGACCTAGCAAATTAGCTATGTCAACTGGCTACAGTCTAGAGGAGAACTCTAGTGGCTGGTAGCTCTAATCGGTAGTTTTCAGTTGTTTCTATCAGTGCCCTGTAACTGTCGGAGCAATACCCTAACAAACTGACTCCGGACCACGCACTATATTTTATTCCTCTTCCTCAACATCTCTTCTCCCTTTACTCATACATCTACACTGACATGCTCTATACTTCCATGGCGGAAGATCAGTCACAAGCTTTGAACTTGCAATGCAATGCTCAACTTGCAAACAGACAATGCCACACTGTGTGTAGATACTAAGAGGAGTAACACCAATCCGCCGTGTAAGTCGGCACTGAATTTCATGTACCAGCGGAGAAATAACACTGCCCCCTCCCAGCTGCAACATGCACTGCAGGGATTAATTTCGAAAATAGTTTACGCGTCCGGAAGCACTCATTTCTCCCACATTTCACTCGCGCGACGAATGTCGTACGGAGGGGCGGGGCGGCGACCGCCCGCGGGGGCGGCAGGCTGGGCGCGCTTTCGATAGCCCTGCCCGCAGGTTTCGGCGGGCTGGCGGGCTTCGGCGGGCTGCCCAGCGTGGCAGCGCTGGACGGGTCGCTGAGCGACGTGGGCGCGCGCCGCAAGTACCCGTTCGAGCTGGAGAAGGCCATCCACAACGTCATGTTCATCCAGCACCACATGCAGCGCCAGGACGAGTTCGACGCGGTAAGCCCGTCCACTTCCACCGCACATTCTCAGAGATGGCCGATTAATTCATTAATGTGCACGAAACTTAATGTACATGTACATTAAAAATTGCTTAATATACTTTTACATTAACTGCAATTCATGGGTACTTATCAGTGAATATTTAATGTAGAAGTTTTCCCGTTTCCCCTGCCTATCATCTTTCATATCGTATATTCATAATCACCCCTCCATCAAGATCATTCATTCATTCATTCATTCATTCATTCATTCATTCATTCATTCCAGGCATTACCATGGAGCTTTGACTATTGCATCCTATTGTACATGTGTACATGAAATTTAATGTGCGTTCATTATAATTATTGTAATACCCATTTCATTGAAGTAATACAGAAATTTCCGACAGTGCTGCAATCGCCTCTCGATCTGGCAAGGACGCCTTCCTGATAACTTGGTCACTTCGACTCGTAGAATAAGTTCATAACAAACTGGCAAAAACAGTATCTTACAAAGAATATGTATTTAACTCTCTATGCATGGCTTATATTTTCAGTTAATATAATTATCCATCTGAAACTTAACTGAAATAATGCATGTGCAACTGTAACATATTGATGCGTTTTACATGCAAATGACGTATTACGTATTACGTATTTAATTACAAAAAACGTATTACGTATTTAAAAATCAGCAACATTAAAAAGTACTTCAATTTTTTACTAAAATATAAGAACGTAGAATGTATTTTGTTAAAAAGGGTAAAGATAATGTATTATTATTGCATTTAGATGGGAGTGGTCTGTAATAACACATTGCAGGAAAAGGGCAGATTATTCAAAATGCGAAACTGTGGAAAATGTCGAATGGTACATTTACATTCGAAAAGAAAGTAATGTGTTATATTGATTAAATATGCATAGCGAAAGTGGACTGATAAAATATTAAAACGACAGAAAACAAACAAAAAATATTATACTATTACTCAAACTCTGCAATTTTCAAACCATCATGTAAAACATGTGCGGTAATTTAATGCCTCTAAAGCAATCAATAATATTATGATTAATGACTTATTTAGACCCACCAATATTTCATTAATATTCCCAACTGTCTGTTATCACATTTTATTATAAAACATTTTTCACATTGCTTTCAGGTGAATATTCATCAAATTCAATAACTCTACAACACAAACAAAAGCTCAGAAACAACGAATTATCTTTCGCGATTCAGCATCACAGTGACTAAGGTTCACGTAGCGACGGCGCGAGCGGCTGAACCGGTGGCTTTAAACCGCCTTCACGGAGCGTGTGATTAACGGAAGAAGCATTATTTAGCGAGATTTGCGCTCATCAGGAAAACAACTTAGCTTCATCAACGACCCGCATTCCGCCTCTGCCCTCAAAGAAGGCAATTTCGCCTCGGAGATAAAGCGGTAGACGTGCCCAGCGTATACATCTTCCTCATCAGCATAGTCGTAAACCGAAAGCCAATCAAGAAGAAAGTTTCCGCGGTAATTTGCTGGATTTGTTTTATAATTGTAGCTCCTTCGCAACTGGGATTTCAGTTCGCCATGTCTGAGGACTCTGTATCTTTTCCCCGGAGTTATAATGAAGATCATTAAGGCAGTTTGGCAGTTTCTTCTCTCAGCAAGCACTCGATTGATACAATAGATGCTGTTACGCAGTTATCTTTGGGTAGTAGTTGTGTACCAATTCACATCATAGTTTTATTCTCCTGTTTATGGGGTTGCTATGACAACGACCTGTAGCCTTCACGTGAAGCGGTGAAACAAGATTTCAGTTGCTTCACGCCGGGATCGAGCTGTGCCACGGTATAAAGGCCACGTGACTGGTCGTCCCGAGTTCTTTAAAATATTACACTGAACGTGCCATGAATCATACACCCCATGATGGGTTCTGAAGAGTACTAATTCGGTCTAATTAAACGTTATTGCATTGAGGAATGAAGATAACTTTTCATAAAAAGTTAACGATAATTGGCTATGCGCCAATTGTTATGATTTTTTCTTAAGTTGTTCAACTTTAAGACAGGCGCCGGATATTCATTTACATTGCGATTTGACAATAATATTACGATCGTAAAACTGTCTGCGTAACACATTGGTGCGAAAAATAAAATATTCTATATTTCGGGAGGAATGAAATTTTGTTTTCTTCACACGCTTATTTAATATTACATAAATCTTTCAATATTATAAACACATTTACATAATATATCTAGAACAAGTAAGGTTAAGGATTTTGCACGTCGTTTCCGATTTAGCATTCTATTCCTTGACATATAGAAGTCCGGGAATCTTTGTCTTGCAATTCTTTGTGTGTGTGTGTGTCAATGAGATAATTCAAGGACATTCATAATTATCACCAAAACTCATGGCTGTTTATGAGTCAAAATCGAATAAGAAAAAACGGAACAAAATGTTCTTCCTTAGAAAATTTGCACCGCCTAATATGTATTCACAAATTCACCACAAGGCAAAGGAATCGCTAGAATAACCTGAAGAACATTCCGAGGACAAACTTGCGAATGCAATAGCGCATCGCCATACATCTATCTTCTTCAATAATTAAGTTCCGACATGGACAGACGAAAAGTTAAAATTTAAGACGTCGTGGCCTTTTAAATAATACTAACTGTTACGTTGTCACCACTTGAAAACAAATTGCTGTGATTAATTATAAGTGGAATATGATGTGTGTAGGGTATATTCTGACGAGATGTGAGAGTGCAAAATATGCCAAAGAAATAGTTTCACCTCAAATTTTACGAATATCTAACTGTAAACAGAACTTATTTCTTTCAATCTTGTGTACGCACTGATTTTCTTTAGAAGAGTATATTTTACCGACACAGCTGGATCTGTTCTTGATTCACAACTGATATCGATGCAAAACAAATTACTAACATGTGTGGACGAAGCAACAAGTACAAACATGTGTCGTTAACAAAGGCTATAAATAAAGCAAGTCGATAGGGCGTTTCATTATAATATAACCACTAATTTCCTCTTGAAATTATTTGACTGTACGATTTACTTACTGTTAACTACTTACTATTAATTGTTCTAGTAACTACTTAATAAAAACTTGATACAATTTATCACGGGTTCCAATATTAGTCCTAGGCCTATAATACTCGTATAAAAAGGTTTGCAAAGAGTACGTCATGCGCAGCAAACAGAAAATTGTTCAACAACTTTCAACATAAATATAAAAATTATAAACATAAATGTCAGTTGTACAAAAAATGCCAGATTTTTATATCAGGGCTCGAGTACCCCACCTCTGCCACGTGATCTCTGACACGCCCATCTGCCCGCAGGAGGACCAAGACTGGGGCTTCGTCGCCATGGTGCTGGACCGGCTGTTCCTCTGGATCTTCACCATCGCGTCCATCGTGGGCACGTTCGCCATCCTGTGCGAGGCGCCCTCGCTCTACGACGACACCAAGTCGATCGATATGGAGCTGTCCCTGGTGGCCAAGCACCAGTTCCGCCCCGACCTGGACTTGTAGCGCCGCAACCAGGGGGCGCCCGCGGCGCAGCCCCCGCAGTAGTAGCCGCCCGCCGCCTCCGCCGCCGCCCGCCGCGCACCGTCGCCGGTGCGCAGGAATGCGCGCGCGTGCGGCGCGCGCGGCGGGCCGAGCACCGCTGGCACCGTCGGAGGGCAGCAGACGAATCACGGGGGGCGGGTGGGGCGGGCGGATTGTGGGTTTCGCCAAAGAGAAAGACTCTTTCCAGCACGGTCTTGTCTTCCGCGTTCTACAGCGTGCCGGGAATATAACAAGATAAATCTTTGTTTTCTAGGGCGAAAAAAAAAATTCCAAAGGGACTCTTTACATCTTGATTCCGTTCTATTTTGCACACGACGGTCTCGAAGTGAAGATCTTCCGTGAGGGAAAACAAAACCAAACAAAAAGCATTCAGACTTTCCTCTTTCGTCTTTGAACTTCATCCTTCCCCTCTCGCACGCGGCGCGAGCTGCAAGGAGATCTTCTTCCAGGAGAATGCTTTGGTCAGTGTTCCTTCCGGCGGGGCTGAGCGGCCAGGCAGGGGCGCTAGCGCTGGGGCGGGGGAGCGGCAGGATTGGGGGCGCGGCCCAGGCAGCGGGGCCCGAGGGCTTCCTGGCGCGCCTGCATCCGCCGCTGAGGCGGGCGGCCCGTCGCGGTGGAGCTGGTGCTAGGTCCGCCTTCAGAACTCTCGTGGGCAGGGCTTGAAAACGAGCGACGCGGGGCACCGGTGCTCCAGGGGCTCTCGGGGGGTCACGACTTCTTTGTTTTCTCACTTTTTATCTCTCTATCTCTCTCTGTTATGGTTTTAATTTTTTTTTTCGTTTCTATCCCGTTCCTTTTGTTTGTTTTTTCTTTTCTTCCGCGGTTTCCAAGCCCTGTTCATGGTGGTGACGGCAGCAAGTAGTGCCCCGCTCCGACAACTCCTACTTCAGGCAGCGGCGCGCGAACTAGCGTGCGATCGGCGTCAGCGGACTGTTTTGCTGTTGCAGCCGGCTAGGACTCGCCCCGCCCCCGTCCCGCAGCCGGCCGCCCCCGCCACCACCACCATCACCACCACCACCACCACCACTACCACCTCTGCCGCCGCCGCCGCCGCCGCGCGGCGAGCGAACATGCGAGCGAGAGCGTGCGTGCGAGCGTGCAATCGAGCGTGTGAACCAAGCGCCCCCGCGCCCGCACGCGAAAGCGCGGCCGAGCCGCGTCCTCTCCGCCCGCGCCGTCTGTCGCACGTAAGGCGCTCGCCCCCCCGGCCGTGTCCACTGAGCGAGACAGCAGCGATTGCCCGACTGTGACCTCAACAACGCAACGGTAACCACCCGACCGCCAATGCACAGGACAAGAACGAAACGACACTTCCCATGACAACATGTAAGTCACAACCGCTGTTCTACACGTCTGCAATACTGTCCGCATGAAAACTTTTCCGTCTATTTCTAAATGCAAATCCGATTAAATTGTCTTCCTTCTTAGAACTTTACTCCCCGTAGACATTACATCACAGGTTTCTTCCCAACACTAAAAACAGACAAACAATACACCACTTCTCCCCAACACGGACCACGAAGACGTACTGTTTCCTCTCGCTACTGGCCTCGACATGCTCTGCCTGGACTCACGTCTTACTTTCGAGCGACCATCCCTCGAGCACTCTCATTTCTAGAACTTAAAATAATTTCCTTTTCAATCTGTATGTATGTTAAAATCAAACCATCCCTCCACGACGATTCGTATTAGAGATCACTTTTTTTTCTGATCCCATCGCGCGAAACTGCCCCCTTCCCGGGCAGTGAAGACGCGAGCCACGAGTCTCTGTCTCGAGTGCCGACGAACCGCTCGGGCTCCTTGGTTGGCGTTGGCGCCGCTCCACCTTGTGCTCGGACACCGCTTCGGGGCCGCCCAGGCGCCCACGGGGCCTTGGCCACCGCGGCCCGGCAGCGCACCGACGCCCCGGACTCGACGACTCCGGATGTGAGAAGAAGCAAAGACTTGTCTGAGTGTTTAGAGCTTGTGGACTGTTTTTTTAAATTGTTTTTTCTTCTCTCTCTTGTGTTTGTGTGCGTGTGGGTCTCTGCCGACGGACTGCGAAATCTCGGCCAGGGGCGGACGTGCTATCCCTAACGCCCGCGCCGAGCGCCACTGCCGTCTCGGAGAGCGCGCTTTCGATCCTCGATTCGTATAAAATAAAGGGGATGTGCAAGCAGATGGAACGACTCGACAATCTGACACCACCCGTTTATAGAGTGTGATTAGATTAGCGTATCTGTAAGTGATATGCTCATCTAGAGCGATTTCTTCGAGCCCGTAGCTTGAACCTCGAGCCACAGTTGTACACCACCTTACATTATTTACTGTTAACTTTAATAATATGTCTTTTCGACGAAAGAGGGCGAAAACCAATCACCAAATTATGCTGAATGTTTGCGGCGAGTTTCGTGATCTGCTGCACATCCTCGACCAAGGCCAGCACGGGAACTCGGCGCAAACGCACCCGTCCCCCGCGGCACCATCCCTTCAGCGGAGTCGAGCCGTGTTGCCACCGGCGCGTCTTGTCGATTCTTCCGTGTTTCTCGAGGGGTCGAACTCAAATCATTCGCAACCGCACAATAATAATGTATTAAAAACATTTCAATTTCATTCTCAAAGCGAGCACTTTACCTACGAATAGTGATTAACTTTGGTGACAGTCCAATTTTTTAGGAACGAACTGTCACAGAACTATGAGAACCAAAGGTTTTGTTAGATTTTTGGAGTTCCCAAAAATAAGAAGCAAAATATTTAAGAAAGTACAGTTTATACTAAAGAAATATTATTTTAATGCGCGTAATTAAAACATTTGAAATTACACACACGTAAAAGTTCTTTGTGTGTGTAATGCGATTATTCACACGACTTTCGAACCCCTCGGCACAGAAATCGACAACACAGCTGGAGCGAGTCGATAGTTCCGGTGAGTGCGATTCTTTGGGATTCCAGAACTGGTAGATTAGAGGTACACAACAGAGCGGCCTAGTATTCACGAAGTTCCTCTGAGAGAAGTACTGGTACTGGTTGGATGTGTGAACTATCGGTTTGCCATTTTGTCAATTGTATTTGAAGTTTGTTAATGTACTTTCCTGTCAGGCAACACGCTGGATCTCCTAAACGTCATGTCCACCTCACACAAGAAATAAGCATGAATGTATTGTAAATTATGCAATGTAATTCAGTGGTGTTTTCGGCTTTATTAGTGGAAGTATTTAATAAGGGTAAAAACAAAATTGAACATTTATAAGCATGAATTTGGCATTCATTAAAAATGTTTAAATAACTTTTATATATGAGAGCGTATTCACAAATTTCGGCATAATCGTCACCAAAACCAACACAAAAACTCAAGGTGGACAGGGCCTTCTTCTCGCCACTTTTTCCCGCCATTTCGATGCGATTTTTAACTGGATTCGGTGTGCCCCGCGAGTGCCCGCGGCGGGACGGCCCTTCCCTCCCGCACCAAGATCGAAGCCGCCTTCCCGCGCCGGCGCACGCGCCGTTGGGGCTCGCGCATGCGCATGCGCACAGCGCGCCGCGGCGGCGGTTGCGCGCGCGTGCGTGCGCACTGCGACCGCGCCGCCGAGCCGCCGCGCGTTGCGAACCGGGCGGAGCGCCCGCGCCCGCGGAGCCCGGCCCTGCGCAGACGCACCGAAAGGCTCACGACGCGCATTTCCAACGCCGCGGCAACAACGGGAAACGAGGCATTTCCAAGTCCACGGCTGAGAAAGGGAACGTGATGTCAACAACGGAAAGATAATCTTGGTCCCGAACTGTCATTCCCGAGGAAAGATCTTTTCATTGCATTCGAAAATTGAAAGATTCTGTATTTCAAGAGATGTGTGTGTAAAATTTTCTCAAGTTTTAATTGAAAACACCAAATATTATCTCACTTTTTATAACCAAATATGACTGAAAATAACATATCCAATTAATTTTGGACCTTTTTCGGTAAGAGAAAATTTTGATTTGTGTTGTAAGCAAGGGCGAAGCAAATTTAAATTCCTTGAAACCGTTCATGTAATGTTATTACCCTAATATACATGTTCGAAGAAGTATATTTCTAATTAACATTTTCATTGCGTAGACTCTAAAATCAGAATTTAAAAAATATGGAATAGAATACTGCAAAATGGCTCCAATTTTTATCAATGTCGTGTTGGAACGTTAGGCCTACTTTTAGATTGGCAACACTGTAGTAACTACCCAAAAAACATTTCTTGACTTCAGCGTTTCCCGCGTCTATTGCAAAATGGAAGTACAAAGAGCGAGTGCAAATTTTCGAATTTCTGTTCCCATGACTTAATCATTAATATTTTAATAATTATTAATAATGAGTAAATCATTAATATTTTGGATAATACAGATCTTTGACCAGATCACATTATTTTCTCGCGTTGATTGGGTAATAAAATAGCCCCATCGAAGAGACAGAATGAGAGGCAGAGAGAGAACCGCGAGTGTGTCCTTGCGTCTGCGCAGTGGTCCCGAGCGCTGCCGGCACGCGCGCGGCGCTGCGAGGCCGGGGGCGCACGCGTGTCGCTGGAGGCACGCGCGAGACGCAGCGGGACGGAAAAGGGGCGCGGCAGGGCCGGGAACGGCTCTGGGGGGAGGGGAATCACGGGGAATCCACACACGCTTCGGGAGAGATGCTGGCGCTGGCGGCAGGAGTGGTGGTGGAGAATGAAGTAGTTCCAGGATAAACTAAGTGACTACTTGGCTGCCCGGGAGTCGCCGTATGCTAGGCACAAAAACCAACGTTTTGGCTGCCATTCTGCGAAATGAATTTCGCCCTGAGGAAGGTCGCAGAGAACCGAAACGTTAGCACCTGTGCCAAGGACGCGGCGTCTCCCGGACAGCCAAGTACTTCCCGACTCTGACCACGGAAACCTACGCTCTCAGCGTTGGCTGGAATCGCGATATCCTCAGTAATTGTAACCCCCCACCACTCACGCCCTCGTCGCCGCCTCCGCCAGCTG